TTGTGATTCCCGAAGCATGCACGTATGGTCTATTAACTATGTAACCAAATTGGCGCACATTGTATTTTGATTGTTTATCTTTGCGTGAAGGTCGGGGGTGCGCGATGGTTAACTCCTACCAACCTCCCCCTAGGAGTATGCCTGTAGTACTTTGTTTCAAGGGCTAATAAATTCTTGCAATAAGTATGTGAGTTCTTTATGACTAATGTTGAGTCCATGGATTATACGCACTCTCACCCTTCCATCATTGCTAGCCTCTTCGGTACCGTGCATTGCCCTTTCTCACCTCAAGCGTTGGTGCAAACTTCGCTGGTGCATCCAAACCCCGTGATACGATACACTCTATCACACATAAGCCTCCTTATATCTTCCTCAAAACAGCCACCATACCTACCTATCATGGCATTTCCATAGCCATTCCAAAATATATTGCCATGCAACTTCCATCATCATCATATTCATGACTTGAGCATTCATTGTCATATTGCTTTGCATGATCGTAAGATAGCTAGCATGATGTTTTCATGGCTTGTCCCTTTTTTGATGTCATTGCTACGCTAGATCATTGCACATCCCGGTACACCGCCGGAAGCATCATATAGAGTCATATGTTTGTTCTAATATCGTTGTAATATCGAGTTGTAAGTAAATAAAAATGTGATGATCATCATTATTAGAACATTGCCCCATGAAAAAAAGAAAAAAAGAAAGGCCAAAGAATCCTAAATAAAAAAAGGGGGCCAAAGAAGCCCATCCAAAAAAAGAAAAAAAAAGAAAAAAAGAGAAAGAAGAAAATAAAAGGGGCAATGTTACTATCCTTTTCCATACTTGTGCTTCAAAGTAGCACCATGTTCTTCATATAGAGAGTCTCTTATGTTGTCACTTTCATATACTTGTGGGAATTTTTCATTATAGAACTTGGCTTGTATATTCCAACGATGGGCTTCCTTAAAATGCCCTAGGTCTTCGTGAGCAAGCAAGTTGGATGCCCCACTTAGTTTATTTTGTTGAGCTTTCATACACTTATAGCTCTAGTGCATCCGTTGCATGGCAATCCCTACTCCTCGCATTGACATCAATTGATGGGCATCTCCATAGCCCGTTGATTAGCCGCGTCGATGTGAGACTTTCTCCCTTTTTGTCGTCTCCACATAACCTCCACCATCATATTCTATTCCACCCATAGTGCTATATCCATGGCTCACGCTCATGTATTGTGTGAGAGTTGAAAAAGTTTGAGAATACTAAAGTATGAAACAATTGCTTGGCTGACACCGGGATAGGCATGAGGGGTACCTTGTGTTAAGAAAAGGGAGCATACAAGACTATATGATTTTGTAGGGATAATGTTATGAAGCATTGATAGTTTGAAAGACATGATTGTTTGTTGGGATGCCCTAAGTATTATTGTTTTCATGTCAAATGATAGACTATTGCTTTGAATCACTCGTGTCTTAATATTCATGCCATGATTAGATATATGATCAAGATTATGCTAGGTAGCATTCCACATCAAAAATTATCTTTTTTATCATTTACCTACTCAAGGACGAACATGAATTAAGCTTGGGGATGCTGATACTTTTCCGTCGTATCTATAATTTTTGATTGTTTCATGTTAATATTCTACAACTTTTATATACTTTTGGCAACTTTTTATATTATTTTTGGTACTAACATATTGATCCAGTGCCTAGTGCCAGTCCCTGTTTGTTGCATGTTTTATGTTTCGCAGAAACCCAATACCAAACGGAGTCCAAACGGGATAAAAACGGACGGAGATCATTTTTTGGAATATTTATGATTTTTGGGACGAAAAACCAATGCAAGACGGTGCCCAAGGGGGCCACGAGGCAGGGGGCGCGTCCCAGGGGAGCAGGCACGCCTCTGACCCTGGTGGGCACCCCTTAAGGCGGTTGACGCTCTTCTTTTGCCGCAAAAAAGCTAATTTTCGGAGAAAATCTGGGCGAAAGTTTCAACCCAATCGTAGTTACGGATCTCCGGATATAAAAGAAACGGTGAAAGGGTAGAATCTGGGAACGCGGAAACAGAGAGAGACAGAAAGACAGATCCAATCTCGGAGGGGCTCTCGCCCCTCCCATGCCATGGGAGCCAAGGACTAGAGGGGAAACCCTTCTCCCATCTAGGGAGAAGGTCAAGGAAGAAGAAGAAGAAGAAGAGGGGCTCTCTCCCCCTTGCTTCCGGTGGCGCCGGAACGCCGCTGGGGGCCATCATCATCACCACGATCTACACCAACACATCCATCATCTTCACCAACATCTCCATCACCTTCCCCCATCTATATTCAGCGGTCCACTCTCCCGTAACCCGCTGTACCCGATACTTGAACATGGTGCTTTATGCTTCATATTATTATCCAATGATGTGTTGCCATCCTATGATGTCTGAGTAGATTTTCGTTGTCCTACCGGTGATTGATGAATTGCTATGATTGGTTTAGTTTGCTTTGGTTATGTTGTTGTCCTATTGTGCCCTCCGTGTCGCGCAAGCGTGAGGGATTCCCGTTGTAGGGTGTTGCAATATGTTCATGATTCGCTTATAGTGGGTTGCTTGAGTGATAGAAGCATAAACCCGAGTAAGGGGGTTGTGGAGTATGGGATAAAGGGGACTTGATGCTTTAATGTTATAGTTGAGTTTTACCTTAATGATCTTTAGTACTCCCTCCGTAAACTAATATAAGAGTGTTTAGAATACTAAAGTAGTGATCTAAACGCTCTTATATTAGTTTATAGAGGCAGTAGTTGCGGATACTTGCTAGAGATCCAATCATAAGTGCATATGATCCAAGAAGAGAAAGTATGTTAGCTTATGCCTCTCCCACATAAAACTTGCTATCGGTCTAGTAAAGTAGTCAATTGCTTAGGGGCAATTTCACAACTCCTACCACCACTTTTCCACACTCGCTATATTTACTTTATTGCTTCTTTATCTAAGCAACCCCTACTTTTTATTTATGTGCTCTTTATTATCTTGCAAACCTATCCTATCACACCTACAAAGTACTTCTAGTTTCATACTTGTTCTAGGTAAAGCGAACACTAAGCGTGCGTAGAGTCGTATCAGTGGCAGATAGGACTTAGAGAATATTTGTTCTACCTTTAGCTCCTCGTTGGGTTCGACACTCTTACTTATCGAAAGAGGCTACAATTATCCCCTACACTTGTGGGTTATCAAGGTGCTAGATAAGTCTTTCACAGTTTAGTGCAGATCACGGTGGGCAAAGGAGATAAGGTACTTTTCTGGAGAGATAGATGGATCCACGACTTCTCCGTCAGAGATTGCGCCTACGCTGGTGGCCGGAGTGGAAACGAGGATCATGAACTCCTGTATGGTTGCTCAGGCCTTGGAAGATGAGAGATGGGCACTCGATGTTCAACCACAGACTTCTTTTGGGGCACTGCTACAAACAGTCCATCTGAGGCAAATATGCTCCGTGAGAAAATTGACAGTCTAGATGTGCATGAACCTATTTGCGCGCTGGTATCTCTTTGATGAAGAAAATATGCTCCTGCCGTTTGTTTAGTCTCTGGTTTGATGTATGAGCTTACTTATTTTTGTGTAGATATTGTGCTTATTTTGTAATTTTAACTGAAGGGTTAGGCCTACCGTCTTCCAGGTGAATTCCTGATGCCGCATGGTTTCATCGGTTAATCTATGCATGTTTTATCTATTACAGCTAGTCTGTTCTGGTTTGATAGCTCTTTATGATCCAATTCAATAGTAGCTTGTCTATGATTATCTTCTTCTCTGCACGCGAATGCTGCCTGATCTGTCGTTCTTGATCAGATTTCTGTTGTACCATTGAAATAGCAAATACATGCGGGTTAGTGTCATATGTTTCTGTTATAATACAAGCATTTCAGGCAGCTATGTGGAATCAGAATCCCTAGATCAATGAAATCTTAAATGTTACATATGCATGGACCTGTAATATCTTAAATGAGAAAAATATATTCTGCTGCCATAGAAGCTTATCCAAGCTAGGTTTCTCTTAGATAATAAGTGTGTCAGGCAGCTATATGGAATCAAGATCCTCAGATCAATGAAATCTATGGATTTTTATGTTACATATGCATTGACATATCATCTGTAATATCTACAATGAAAAAAATATGCTGCTGCCATAGAAGCTTTATCCATGCATTAGTATTTGTTGTTCTATCATTGTGAGTTTGCTTGGTCTGCCTCTTTATGCTTACCATTCTGTCTGTGATTCTTATTTGCAGATGCAGATCTTTGTGAAGACACTCACGGGCAAGACCATCACCCTTGAGGTGGAGTCATCTGACCAGCAGCGCCAAGATCTAGGACAAGGAGGGCATTCCCCCGGACCAGCAGCGCCTTATCTTCGCTGGCAAGCAGCTGGAGGACGGTCGCACCCTCGCCGACTATAACATTCAGAAGGAATCCACCCTCCACCTGGTGCTCCGCCTGCGTGGTGGCATGCAGATCTTCGTGAAGACCCTCACCGGC